GGTCACGCCCACTTTGGAAGATCTATATAACAGTAGGGGACAGTACGTCTTACAGTTGGATAGCGATTTCACATTCAAATATACCAGGGAAAGTGTTCTATGTTCTTCGTGTAATTTGGTACATGGGATTGCCCACACAAAAACGACGAATGAGGTCAATTTTTTTAGCCGTTGGCTTAATGTTACCCCGATTTACTCCCTGATTTGTAGGAAACTGTTTTTCTACTTTTCTTTTTATTTAGTTCCAAGCAGCGTTCCCGATGGCTACCCCATATAGTAAATATCTGTAGATTAGCCTTAATCGTATTCATCATATTATATTGTACACCAGCTGACTGTGGCCATTCTAAGGCTGACCAGGAAAACTACTTTTTACATTATCAAGCCTTGCGTAACAAAAGAAAATCATTCAGGGGAATCCAGATAAAACATTCTATGTCCCCTTATGCAATATAGACTCGCCCAGGGTGGACGCGACCATAAGTCGGCGCCAGCGAGATTCGAAATCCAACTAAAAAACCCAAGCAGTTAGCCAAGCTTCTGAGACTTGCTGTAAATAAATCTACTAAAAATGGCGTTAATTTTTTAACATATCTCCGCGCTGAAAAAAATGAAACCCTTGTGTGTAATTGTTAAGATAAGGTTCAGGGGTGGATAACAAGAGACGAACTGGTGTACACTATAACAGATGACTTTATTGAAACTCCTGCCGTGATGTGTCAAAGCACCCACTTATATACACAAGTTTACATTTCTTGCATTTTGGCGGAAAGTGACTTTGGCCTTGTACATGATTGGGTAATAGGGAGACGAGCTGATAGGTAAATAACTATTTATGAGGTTGTTTTATTGGCTAAAATTAACGTACTATGATTGGCTAAATTATTTGTAAGCAGAATCCTAAATCGACATCAAGCCCGGCTAGTTATATTTCCGATAACACTTGTGACTCACAGAATCTGTTTTTGATAAAATGATGTGTAAAACATTATACGTGCTGATTACAATCTGCTTGAAAATCTACTGCAATGGAAATGTGTTGTGACATTATTAGCTGTGCTAAAACCACACTACATAAACGGCATATGGACTATAATGATAAATGGTGGGCCACGCGTTGAATGTTGGAGTACACTATATACGGCAACATATTGGCACGGCAAATGGGTCTGTTGAAGAAAAACTTAGTTAATTCATTATTTAAGATATCCACCCAAATACACTAGAGACTATCTAAAATATGTTATAATTCGAACCCTATTCTTGGATTCTTGGCCCTACTTTTCAATAGTTTAGGAATAACTCTACTATCTCCTTATCAACTTGAACACTATACGTTGTACTTTGACTGAACTGGCCCCAGTCTGGATTATTGAAGCAATAAACCACTGAAGGATTGTAATGTTCTTCGTTACGTTCTTTGTCCGCAACAAACAAAAACAAATTTGCCGATTCCATTGACAGCAAGATGTCACAATGAATGAAGACAATGAAATACAAATATGGTGTTTTGTGAAAATCGATTTACAAAGTGAATTAGTGCATTTAACCCTTGTTTAATATGACAAGAGAATATCGCGATAACATATATAGTTTCTTACAGTGTACTCGTTTTAATGACGTGTTCAAGGTAATCGGCTGCTGATAGTTTTCCTCAAAACAGATTGACAGTGGAGTAAATAACACTCAACAGACTACTACAAAAACGTTTACTTATATACATTTGACACGAAATATTGTCAGTTGATTATGCTCGATGATATGCGCATTCGTCAATTGAACAAGACATATTTTATGGTTTTCAGCATATTCCGGCAGTACAGTTGAACAAGACATATTTTATGGTTTTCAGCATATTCCGGCAGTACAGTTGTGCAGTCAATTGAACAAGACATATTTTATGGTTTTCAGCATATTCCGGCAGTACAGTTGTGCAGTCAATTGAACAAGACATATTTTATGGTTTTCAGCATATTCCGGCAGTACAGTTGTGCAGTCAATTGAACAAGACATATTTTATGGTTTTCAGCATATTCCGGCAGTACAGTTGTGCAGTCAATTGAACAAGACATATTTTATGGTTTTCAGCATATTCCGGCAGTACAGTTGTGCAGTCAATTGAACAAGACATATTTTATGGTTTTCAGCATATTCCGGCAGTACAGTTGAACAAGACATATTTTATGGTTTTCAGCATATTCCGGCAGTACAGTTGAACAAGACATATTTTATGGTTTTCAGCATATTCCGGCAGTACAGTTGAACAAGACATATTTTATGGTTTTCAGCATATTCCGGCAGTACAGTTGTGCAGTCAATTGAATATGCCGAACTAGTCGATCAGTTTAATTACAAATCTTATTAAAATCTGATTTTTTATTTCTTTAATCGTTATTTTTATAGTTACAGAGACGGCAAAACGTCAAATAAAACCAAAAATATTTATAAATAAACAAAAATATAATGAAAAATGGAGCGTATACCTACATGTTTAATTACGGACAGATTAGTATTGTGTAAATTTCAAGTTGGCAATAAATACTAGTGCAGTTAAAACATTTAGTTCCAGTATCTACCGTGACTGCTAGCGGTTTGGTTTGACTTCGGAAAGTCATATCTTAACACTCTTTGAGTGTTCGTACTGCTCATAGGTTGTTTGAATATTCACATGACAGTAGAGTGAGTGTAATGTTTGTTAGTAGTCGTGAGAATACTGTTACAGTTTATGTAGGAAACTTCATGCATTTAGAGAAAGGCTTACATACATATATATATATATATATATATATATATATATATATATATATATATATATATATATATATATATATATATATATATATAAAGCTTCTGATGAGTGAGGTACTTGTATTTATTTATTTATTTATTTATTTATTTATTTATTTATTTATTTATTTATTTATTTATTTATTTATTTATTTATTTATTTATTTATTTATTTATTTATTTATTTATTTATTTATTTATTTATTTATTTATTTATTTATTTATTTATTTATTTATTCAGCCTTTCTTTTCATGGAGACATTCGTCTGAAAGCATAATAATCATCATGATTTTTTTCCTACATTATTTGCGGTATGTTGGAGGATAATTTTATGTGTCATTTCCCATAAAGG